CCCCCCCCTTGGAGTCACTCTCACCTCATTGCCCCCGGTTGTCGAGCATACGCTTGACTACATATCTCGGCACTTTCTCACCTGCATCTCACGAAAGGTCATGGTGGAGGGTGCAGTCCACCCACATCAGGGATCGTCTCTTACGGTAGAGTTCATCTACTATATTGATTGGCGTCGACGAAGAGACGTGAAAGCAAGCTTCTCATGTTTGGCGTCTCATGTTCGTTTGGCCGACTTAGGTCGCGCGAGAGTGAGTGGCGTGTGATGTCATTATATTAGAATTTTTTACTTTTACAGAACATTCTCGCGAGACTCAATTCTGGTAAAGAAAACAGAGTTAATATCTTGCTCTCGTCTTCCGGTTCATAATGCATATGCGCATGCCTAATGTACGAGGCGATCTTGGATGTTAGCCCCAAGGTGGCCTTCAAACTCCCACAATGATCAGCGCACACAAAAAAAAATGACCCAGCGCACAGCGTCAGCCTCAAAACCATTCGTCGATCGACTTCGTTGAATCTTTTGGGAATCTTGGATTTTTGTTGTGAAGATATATATTTGTAGCTTTGCAGGCTAACTTTGCCGCTGCTGTGAACGAGCGGTCAATCCGGTATAAACTCGAGCGACGGACAGACAGTTCACAGCATGGCACTAGGTACTACATGAAGTTCTTCGCGGCACGCACGTGTCCTGCAGTGTAACGAATCTCTCCCCCCCATGACATGTATGTTCATATGTTGCCCCCCTCTCTCTCCGAGACTGATTCGGCTGCTGATGGTTATACCTCCAGCAGCAGGGAGAGGGGGCAGAGTAGAGAGAATGGGGAAAAGTCGATCCAAGACGCGGCAACTTTCATGGTACTTTTCTTGCACGAAGCAGCCACATTTTTTATGTTGCTGTAAGAAAGTTCCTCGCGAGAGAACGGAAGGAAATCATTCCGGAAGCAAACACCGTTGCTTGTACTGACCTATACATACTGGCAGCAGGGGGTGTACTTCCGCGGAAACCAAGAGAGAGGAGCAATTGTGCGTGCTGGAGACAGACCTGGATCTCCTTCTTGCCCGTATGCGTATGTATGATGTATGTAGATGCTTGCTTGCGCTTTCGGGTCGGGATTAACGCGGGGTGTATAGGTGGGCGACATTATTCACCAGCCCACAAACGCTGCATGAATTCGTTCCGAATGTGGATGGATGTATCGTCAAATAAGTCATGGCTTCTGGCTCGCTACACAGTACCGTTCGATTCGTACGCGGGTATCAGTGGGGCCAAAATTCGCTGCCCTACGAAGCGGTGTAGTGTTGGCCCTCTCTTCTCGCTGTCTCGCGAGCTCCGCATCGATCTTTTTCGACACAAAAAGGTTGTGTATGCACGGCGGATTACCCGCCCTCTTTTTAATAGCGCGGGACCGCATGAAGCAGTTGAGAACATTCTGACTTGCGTGGATTTGACATGACTGCTGCCGTGTGACGAGGACGTACGGCGCTGCTGTTGATCTGCAGGAAAATATGTGGGCTCTGGCAGACACGCTGACTGCCTTGGGGCGCAATTGTAGCACACAAAGTTTGGCCACAGCGTTCTCAGGAGGCGGAGCACGTCACGACTCGTCCCAAGTTTCACGAGAGAAAAAAAACTGGCTTCACGATCCACCATGGATGAGGGAAATCTCGATGCACATCATACGCCACAAAATGCGCCAACAACACAGCGGTATCTACTGCCGTCTGGCAGTTCGAGGTGCGCAGGACTCCCGCAACAGGGGCTCTCGCGAGCGTGCGGCAGTTTTGTTCGAGGTCCCTCAAGAAAGTGTGTGCGCTTACCTGCGTGGTTTCTTTCGCGTCTTTGGCCACCTTGGCGTTGTGCGGCAGACGTTTCTTCACGAGGCGACTGATGTTCGCGATTGGCAGAAAGCGGTCCTGCTCCCTGAGCTCCTCGACGTCATCATCTCCTCCCCCTGCGTGCTCCGCCATAACCCTGGTCCCGTCGAGCTGGCTTGCTGCCCTCGTCACGTGCTTTTCCTCTCGCTCAATGCCGCTGCTAGATAAAACCCACACCTGGACTAAAAAAAATCTCCGCGCCTGTGTGTGTGCGGGGGGGGGGTTGTGCGGCAGGCACACATGAAGACATGCGCGCGGGCGAAGAGGAACATGCGCATTTTTATGCCAACCGCACACGTGTGGTGCGTCGGTTTCCTTATATTTACGTGATTTTTCCCACCAAAGCCGTTGCGACCTCACAACACCGGGGAATTTCGAACCCGCCCGTAATAATCGTCACCATGTAATCTACGTCCTCGTGCTGCTCACCAAGTGGGCCTATTATATCGTGTCATCATCGCCTATGATGTAATAACGTACATGTATGCTGCCTCGGGAACTTTCGTCGCAGTATTTCCTCCCTTCTTATTCGGGTCCTTTCTTTTGCCACTGATGTGACAGAAAGAATAGCGAGCGAAAAGGCGCCAAAACACACAATACACGCGACCCCGACCGTCGCGAGCATGTTGTGAAAATTGACAACGAAATGTTAAGTGTGGTCTCGTGAGCCTCGAAAACCAATCCTCCTCCTGGCATGGGAATGTCAAGCATCGACACGTGACACCGAAAGTACGTCAACAGCTGACAACGGTTCTCGTTGGTGTACGCATGGGCTGCCAAGACTGACTGCGAAACAGACGGCGGCAGTAAGCTTCGGCCACCCAAAACGAGAAGAGTACGGACAACGCTCAAATGGCCGCCGGTGTTGTCCTTCTGTCTCACCGGACTGCTGTGGAGACGACCTGCATTAAGGTACAATCTCCCCAACGTCTGTCGAGGACGATTCCCTCTTTTCACAGGACGGGGCGATACAAAGTCTGCCAGACACAGCTAACCCGCACAGCTATAGCACTCTACGGTTTCACCTACGCCTTGGACCATCATCGCGGATCACCCGCAGCTAGTTATACAGCCATCATCATCGCGAATCACCCGCAGCAAGTTATACAGCAAGCTCCAGACTTCGAACTCAAAGTTACACGAGCCCGACCGGCGAAATTTAAATTTCCACTTCACCCACAACCAACCGCATGCAAGAGGCACATGGTGGGAGGCCACACACGGCTATGTGAAGAGCAGTCAGGACGGCCAACGTTCAAAAAAGGGAAAAGGACTCCGCCGCCTTGTTGTCCACGTCACGGCTAACGAACGTACAACACGTCGCCAAACGCTATCACACTCCAAAAGTGGACACCTCTGAACTTTTGATTAATTTCTGTGTACACATCTTCTTGGCTGGTCGCCCCAAACTGCCATATTTTTGTTCCTCTTGCCCCGATATCGTTTCTCCGGCGAGACAAAGCCGCAAAAGCAGACCATAGCTACACCTATCTCGAGCGCGACCAATCGCCACGAACCAGAGCGTTCCGCCCTCGGCCCTTAACCTTGCAACGTCTACTGTCGCAACGGCTTTCTCTTTCTGTGGCACATATGCAATCTTCACCGTGGCACGTATACACTCTTCACCTGCGTACGGCGCGGGAGCAGTATCTATGGCAGACCAGCCAGCCATGTCAACTAATGGTGGCAAACACGTTCAAACCGAACATGGCTTTGCTCAAACCTCGAAATCTTGCACAGAGTGCTAGCACTCGTATCGCTAGGAATATTATATCATAGAATGAAACAACACGCTACGGCGAGGACGTCTTTGTTCCACACGCTACGGCGAGGACGCCTTGTCCCCCCGCTACCGCTGGGGATCTCAACAGCTTGCTGGAATCACACACTGCAAGCAGCAGCGGCTGCAACGCGCTTGTTTCAACCAAACCAGAAGTCAGCATATCTACACTTTTCTTCCGACCAAATAACACCTCGGGAAACATCAGATCACTCCCTCTGCATCGCAAACCCCTTTCCAAGCAGGCGATATCGATCGACTGGACACAACGCCCCATTCTCTCTCTGCCTCAAAATGACAACATCTCCGCTCTCGCTACCCAAAAAAATACTGAAAAACGCGGCCAGCAGGTTGGTTTCCCACTAGAACCCTGCCGCTCCCGCGGCCCCCGCGCCCCCGCCTCCTGCCGCGCCGCCCGCCCCGCCTTGCGCCCCGTAGTAACCCCCGCCGGTTGCCATGGCTTCACTCGCGTCGTCCCTCTTGCCTTTCCGGTCCGGCTTCTCCAACTTCACGGACTCGCGGTCTGGCGAAACGCACGGTGCATCGCACACACGATGACATATATATGGAGGGCGCGGGGTAAAGAGCTCACATAAAAAGGTAAAATGTGACGACTGACTGCTGTTGTACAGCAAGCAGTTTGCGCCCGCCGTTTGTTTTAAGAAACTCCACAATTTTGGGGTCGAGGCTCGATTTCAATTCGTCGCTACCGTCGAGCATATGTCATTATCATATACTACGAAGGAAAGATTAGTGTAGGATCCACGGCTGAGGTGTGTTTCCTTTCGTAGTTGATTTTGATTTACTGCCAAAACCTGAGCCTTTGTTTCGTCAAAAAGGTTTGTTTCTTTCATCTCGGGCGCAAACCAATTGCTGTTATTACTGCCGCCGGTGAACGCGGTTTGTGGCGTTCCAGATGGACAGATGCCGCCGCAAACAAGTGCGAGTCACTGCAACCCACCCTATAGACCGAAGTGTAAAGTTAGACAATAGCTCCCCGTCCACCACACACAACAAAGAGCGCGCAAAAAGAGACACCCGACACACGCGATAACACCTCACGGGGAGATGCTTCCAAATTGAAGACCTCGCAAACTAGGGGCGTTTTCTAATCTACTGCCGCCAGTATGGCACACAGATATGCCACTGCTCTCCAGTCGTGTTGCCCCTGCCTTCGGGTGTGGCGATGATAAACCTTCCGCAACACTCCTAAGGTTGAGAAAAACTGTCCAGAAGTATGTATGCATACGTGGAGACGTGCAAGTGACCCCCCCGGAGTTGGTTCATCAGAGCACAGCAGCAGTGACACGAAGGGGTGATGCAAGATGACAACCAAGAGCAGGAAACATGAACAAAACACAGCTGGCTTCCAGCTTCAAGCTGCGGTGCGACATTACCCAAGCCAAAAAAAACGCCTGCACGTGGTACTGACTTGAACGGACTAGCGAACGTCAACGAATCAATAAGAATAGTTTTACTTGTAGAGCCTGTAGTCCACAGGGAACAATCGCTGTGCGCCGTTCGGGAAATAGTAGAAACACTGGTAGCGCTCCGCTACACTGCTGAAACGCTATATTGTTTGCCAATTTATCCTGGACTCCTATCTCTTATCCGTAGATCGAGATGGATTCGCGGTGTCATACATCAAGAGAATAGAAAATAAGAACATGTATACAGCAGCAGTCTTACATTTGGAGAGGTAGATCTTGAGCGGGTCGACGTACTTGTCGAAGCCAAGCGTGCTCATGGCCCATAGCAGGTCCTCGCCGTTGATGGTCTTGCGCTTCTCCTGCTTGCACTTGTCGCTAGCCTCGGAGGTGATGAAGCAGATGAACTCCGACACGCACTCCTTGCGTGTATGTAGTAGGCGCCACCAACGTGAGAACACGAAAGGTGGATGAGGGAGGCAGGGGTCATATTGGTGGATGTGCTCGTTCCGTCCCCACCTCGCTTTGCAACCTATCGTGGCAGGTTGCCGGCGATGAAGCGGGCCACCTACGCAGGATTTTAAGAGTATCTAGAAAAACAAAAGGGCGGGGGCACGCAGACCCTATCCCTAACTTAGCTCTGACCCCAAAGCACGGATTGAGTACTTTATCCCATATGTTTGCTTAGCCAATATTGCTGAGGAGACCACTGAATGAAGCATTATTGGACTACTGTACAGCAGCGGCACTACTGCTGTAAGCGTGTGCAGAGGGCGGCGTCGCGATGCCGTATTGCCACGTGTCCCGCGGGAGATCGAGTGTGGGGGCATGTGCTTGGGGAATCATCCGCTGGACGGGGCTTTGTAGAACCTCTAAGGCTTCATTTAGTTGAGTTAATTGTGCCGCTGTGGAGTCTGCGCTAGTCGGCGAAATGTCGACGAGCCGGACGACCTTCGCGGAAAATAAAGTGAAAACAGCAAGTATTGCTGCCTACTCCTCCATGACTCCGAGGTAGAAACGAATTTGCAAGGACGGGTCGGTAAGCAAACATCGAGCGAGGCTTGGCGAGGCGCAACGGAAATCGATCTGGTGTCTGAGTGGAGGTGCGATGCCAGCGATTCGCAGTCGTCAAACGAAGGAAACGGGAACCCCAGCAACCGGACAACAACAACGGTTAGATTCCCGCAGCAGAGAGGGAATATGAAACGGAAAGCGCCACAACAGAGGCAGCAGCGGCAGTCTCGACTGTGCTTTCCTCCGCCAGGCAGAAAAACTCAAAACTTTTGAGGCCTGCAAACCGCTCGCTATAGCATGCATACTCCAAGCCAACGGAGAGATAGACGCTTGAAAGCAAAATAAACGAAGCAACCTCATGCGCATTCCGGCCGTCAAGGGAAGTCCTCTCGGCCCGCCTGTGGATGGATACTGATCCGAGATTCCCGGGCCCGGGGGGGGAATTCTGATCGCGTGGGGGTGGCCTCTGCTATTGCGAGAGCTGCTGACAGAAGCAGTCATTCGTCAAGTACAAACGTTCAACGTCTGCTGTACACTGAATGAAGTGTCATGACTTTCCGCACCCCGCCCAAGAATCCGCGGGACGAAAGCCGGGACGGGATGGGATCGCCCGTGGCACACACAATGAGGAGGCGTACCTGCACAGTCTCCTTGGCATCCTTGGCGATTTTGGCGTTGTCGGGGAGCGACTTCTTCATGATGCGGGAGATGTTGGCGATCGGCAAGAACCGGTCCTGCTCCCTCAGCTCCTCCGTATCAACGATCGCTTCTTCTGCCATGGTATTTTTGGTGATATGCTGGTCCTCCTTTCCCCCCACCCCGAGCTGATGTTACTACACCCCCCGAGACTGCGGGAGCACGCACCGGACCGAGTCGCTGGGAGACTTAGCACTTTAGTGACTTTAGTGGCTACCCTCAAGCACGCGCTGGTGTGTTGCCCCAGAAGAGATATGATGAGTGGGGGCCCGCACATAGCAGTTTGCAGAGATGAGGGGGGGGTGCAACCTACCCACCGCACCACACCAGCACACGGAAGCTGGGCAGCATAACGCTGGCCGCACGCGCCATGTCTGTGGTGGAACCGAGCACGAACGGCAAGGCCACCATGGCTGGGTTGTCGAGGGGGCCGGGGGGTGGAGGGGATGGCGCCGTAGAGCAGGAAAACGTTCAGGTTTGTGCGCAAGAACTTGGCAGAACAACACATGCTTTCTCATCTTCCCTCCCCGGGGCCTCCGCCTCGGTGTTCCTCCGACAAGAGGAGATAGACCACCTACCGCACACACTCAGGTGCAGCTCCCCTCTGACAGGGGGATGATGGCGGAGCCCTTTGGTAGTGTCTCTGCCGTCGCTCGATCACTCACACTACGCGCGTCGGTGCCCCGTCCAGGAAACATTGGCCAAGTTCAAGAGGTTGCTGTCGCTCGCCCGGCGAAGCATCGAGGAGAACCAGAGGCAGATCACGGAGAAGGACGGTCAGCTCGCAGCGTTGCGAGAAGCGCTGGGTGCCGCGGAGAACGCACGCCGAAGGTTCGTTCGTGCGGTCCTCGTGTGTTAGTCGGTACTCATAACTGCTAGCTTGGGGCGTGTGTCGGCCAAGCGAGGCCGGATGTGAGCAGTGTGATGCAGAACTTGTAGATGAGCAGTATCCAACATTTGATGTGACAGCATCCGATGTGTGTAGGTACAGCAGTGGTGGTACCTGTTCCAAACAGAAGCTACAATAGCTCGTACAGGTGCCAAGCCGGCTGTGTTCCCCACTATTGGTGGGAGAGATCGACGGCGGGAGCGCACAAGTAAGCAACATAAAACGATGAGCGACATATCCACTAGTAACAGGACCGGCAGGGTAACTGCTGTACCTCAGTTCTACCCTTTGCTTCTGAGAGAAAACATGATGTGTACAAGTACCAGGTATTGCTTAGCGTAGAGGTTTCGTGGAGACGTTTTGGGCACAATCAGCGCCGCGACCTACTGACTGCTGGGGTGTCGACGCATGCAACCGCTGGGTCCCCGGCTTGACCCGTACAACTGGCAATCGTCGGCCATTTATTCCCAAGGGCGAAACATGTGGCACACCAGCAGCAGCAGCACTGGCGGCGTGGGCACAAGCGTTGAAACTCAAACGTTGCCGCTCAGATGTCGAAACAATCTTCATGATTAACTGTGTAAAAGGATTCCCCCGACGTGGGTAGAGCCATGAGAGGACAGAGCGCCATCAAAGAGGCGGCGCAAGACGAAGGAGATCCCTCGAAAAGGGCTGACTGCCAGCTGCTGTGACCATATTGCCCGAACAGGCCACGCAGCTGACGTGTTTGGACTCGAAGAGCCCAGCGAACCACGCCGAGAACGAAATCAAGTATTTGTTCTTAGCACCAGCTGGCATCACTGATACAATTCAGTGCATAGGCTGAAACAAACTCAAAACACGCCCAGTTTCCGGCCGGTTTCCCTCCACGCACTGCTGTGAATATTCCAACACATTCCTTTCGACCGTGGTTATGTTTGTCTCGAACGGGTAGTCTCTTGTGTGTTTTATGTTTATTTTTTATGAAAACCTACGCAATATACAGCACTGCTCATTCGTATAAGAGTGAGTAGCTACTGCGAGACGAAGACGATAACACCCGGTCGGAAGCACGGAAGTACGTATGCAGGTACCTACCTCTTGAATTATCTTGTGCAAAAGCCGTACCGTAAGTGGCGAAGAGATGGCACCCCCCCTCGAGCGACTTTCGACGCCCAATTGCTCCACCAACAAGTGGGTGGTGCGGGAAGGGCCCGACACACAAGCGGATTTCCCTCGACGAGATGTTCCCAAAACCACAATTTTTTGTGTTGGCACAATCTTAGTTTTGAAGCTATCAAGCTTTGGAATCGGTCCAGGAGGGGTGCCATCTCTCGGCCTCGTGCGGTATAGTCTACGAGTAGAACCCTGGTTTTGGTTGACGTTTTGTATCGGGAGCACGATAAATCTGAACCAAACCTGCCGTCGTGGGGCTTGGCAACCATGACAAACAACGAAATAAGAACAGAGACGACGAACACGGTGGAGCCACGCCGCTGCAGCTACTCCGGCGGGTTCGCGAGGGAGGCATGTGGTGGCTGCTGGTGGAGTACGACGACGAGTACGAGACTCAGGGCTGGAAGGGTGAGTCCGTACACTCCTCTCTTTGGGAGGCCCCATCACGCAGTTTCTTCGGACCGCCTTCGGGATGACGTTGGAGCGTTACTTGTGATAATAGAGAGGTCGAGAGGGGGGTTTGGTATCTCTATCCCTATGCCTAACCCTAACCCCTACTTATATAGCCAAGCCTAATATCCTCGCGCGAAGGCTACTGGCCGATTCTCTACATGCATGCGTACAGCTGGGTGAATTGGGGCGCGGTTAGATCATGACCGTTTTGGAACGGTTTGGTTGGCGGCGACGTGTAGACGTGTTTTGCATGTCAATGAGGAAACGACGATCTGTCATCCTGCATGTTCATAGCGGATGTGCCACTCACACCCGTTTGTTTTATTCGAACTCGAGCATTTATCTGATCTTGTGTTGGGGCAGGCTTCGCGGACGAGGCTGCCGTCTCCGAGTTTGCCAACAGCGTGAACGTGGGGGAGCCGCTCGAAATTCCTCCGGTGTCGCTGTCACCGGAAGAGTCGGCGACGGTGGTGAGTGAGAACAAAGGGGGGGGGGGGCATGTATGGGAGGACGGTGTTCATGATGGCGCGCGTCTGGTGCTCAGTGCCTAGCAGTACAGGACCTCACGGACCCAAGAGGGACGAGCGAGACAGAAGAGAGAAAATAGGGCCGTACGCTATCTTGATTGCCTGTGCATATGATATGTGTGGATGACAGGTGTAGAAGTGCTGTAACCACCATTGTTGTTGCACACACAAAAGTAGGACCAAGATACGATCCGAACGGAGAATCTTAATGATGGTTGACCAGCAAGAGACCCGACTATGGATGCGTCCATCTTGGCGCCACCTGTGGAGCTTGGGAATCCGAGACTCTCGGGCTTGGTCTCCCTCGCCCCTTCGGCGGCACTCTCTCTCTCTTTTGTCTCTCTCTTCTGAGACCCTCTCCTCTCTAAATCTCAACGAAGAGAACTGCCAGCCCTTCGTACTGGGTAAAGACTACTGCGACCTGGGCCTCCCCCCAACGAGGGAAGCCTGTGTCCTTATATGGTGTTATTTATTTTTTCGATGCCAGGGCGACGACATCGCGAGGACGTTGTTTGCCCTCTCTCCCTACCCGACTTGTGCTCTGGCTGATTGCATACAACCAAACTCGTAGAGCCCCCTTTGAATAGAAAGCCTGTTTGCATTTTTTTACCCGCAAATGAGGACTAACGTGTTTTATTTGGTCAGCGGGCTAGCGCGGTCGATGCTAGTTCAAAGAAGAACACAACACACACACTTGCTCTGAGTCTTCTCCTTGCGCTTGAGAAGCAGCACACTGCCGTTGTCCAGTCGCTCAACTCCTGCGTCCCCCCCGTCGGTACCACCCTTACCCTTTGATTTAGAATTAGCGTTCTTGATTTTATACCCCGCTACAATAAGACAGGCGTGTTTTCGTTGGTCAGCCGGCTAGCGCGGTCGATGCTAGTGTAAGAAACATACACACACACATCCGTAGTACAGCCTCCCCCATGTCGCCCCCTCACGGGGTCCCAGATCATGGCTTCAGAAGCATTTCGTGTTTTCCACCGCACTGAGACTGCCTTATTTCCATTGGTCAGCCGGTGAGGGCGGTGGATGCTAGTAAGAAAAAAAAGCACACACACAAACACACACGTGCTCTGTCTCGCTCGCGCCCTGTTTCTCCCTCTCTCTCTCTCTCTCTCTCTCTCTCTCTCTCTCTGGCGTCGCTGGATCCGCCACAGCTTGAAGACGCCCGCAAGCAAGTGGCGAGCATCCGCGAGGAGTACCGCAAGTTCAGGGTCAAGTCGGAGCTAGGGAGGAAGCAGCGGGAGGCCGAGATCCGGCAGGTGTCCGCCGAGAGCATCGCCGAGAAGCAGCGGCGCATCTCGGGGCAAGGCGCGGCGGTCGACAAGGAGCAGGTTCACGCGCTGGAGGACGAGCTGCAGCGGGTTAGGGACGAGCTCACGGACAAGGAGGAGGTGAGCAGACCGGGAGTGGGGGGCGGGGGGGGGCGTACTCTGATGTTTTGCATGCCTTAGGAGTTAGACCATTGACCACGCGTCCTCGAGAGGACGGAGAACCGATGGCCAATCGTTGGGGGGGGG